GAATGACGATAGTTTTATCAAATGAAATGGTAAAATTCTTGTGAAGTGACTCTCATAAAAGGTCTGCGATGAAGTTCAAATGTGTGCATGTCCTGTCCTCCTCATAGACGCTGAAAACACCATGAGCGCGCTTCAGTGTGTAGCTAGTAGAGCACACATTGAGCGCTCATTCACAGAAACACGCAGAACATGCAGAGTTTATTTCTATAGCAGTCTTTTTGAGCTTTACACACGAGTACACTAGTTTACACACTAGTACATATCGAGATTTCATTCGTTGTACATCCCTACTTTTGATTTATTCTTTCAAAAATGGCCAAATTGCGTGACGCTTTACAGTAGGCTAAGTTACATTTGTGACTGGATTCCTCGATTCGATCCGCTGCGCAAACACAGACGGCGGGGTGAATTTATGAATGAAAGTTCTGTCACAAAACGATGTTGTTACGAATACTCGCGCTTTTTTAATTGGGTATACGGATATCCTTGGCCTTTCCTAGTGGGTATACGGAAATCCTTGACATTTTCTAGTGGGTATACGGCGTATACCTGCGTATCACGTAGACTACACCACTGCACACACACACACACACACACACACACACACCACATGTAAGGGTGGTGCTGCCAATAAAGCACCTAAAAGCTGTCACAAAGAACTGGCAAAAGGAATGATTATGAATATGTAAAATATAGCAAGGAGATATTTTAATTGTTTATTAATAAACACTTGTTAATAAACAAGTGGCTACCTTATACACTGTGTTTCGGTTCATTTATGAGACGAGATCCAGTTCACGTGCCGGCGCCTCCGTTTCTTATCTATCGTCTGCTATTTACTTCTTATTTATTAAACCCAGGCAATTGGTTGATGAAACATTGATTCAAATTAAGATACAATTAATGCAAAACGAAATTCAGGTTAAAGAAAGGTTTTGTGTTTTCTGTTTGATGTCTCTGTGAAAGTTTTAAAGCATTTTTTATGCCGCTTTTCAGAGCGCATAACATTGTTTTTTCCTCATAAATGCAAACCCAAAAAATAAAATAAAACAAAATTAATATTTTATGTACTGTGGAGACTGAGCGCCAACCCTTCTTCATTCGCTGGGTAGTAGCCTACTTTGGTTTGCGCAGTGTAATTCACATAATCAGTAAAAATATATTTTGCCTCCTAAAGTTTTTTTTTTTAAGAAATCAGAAATCCCTCGTGGCTACGCCACTGCCACATTTGAACCTGACTGTGTTAAACACACCACATACTCAAGAACATCAAACCAAATGCTTGGCTTACATTAATGTGTAATATAAAATCTGACCATGGAGTTGACTTTGGCGGAAAGCTGAAAGTGATTGCTGATAGGCTGTCCCAATCAGTGGCGCCTGCACAATCCAATCACGTTTGAGAGGGAAACAACAAATTGAGGGTTTCCGAGATTTTTCTTTACTTTTTTTTTTTTTACTCGGGTACTCACGGTTATGGATAGAAATGTATTGGAGTAAAGAGTACAATATTTGCCTCTCAAATGTACTTGAGTAAAGTCATGAGTACTCCCCAAAAATGATACTCGAGTAAAGTACAGATCCCTCAAAATTGTACTTAAGTACTGTACTCAAGTAAATGTACTCCGTTACTGTCCGGCTCTGGACAGTTCTAATCACCTCTGATCCAACTGTAACAATTAATCATGTTATTCCACTGTATCTCAAATAAAAGTGCACTGTGTGGAACAATAAACTTAAGTCTTTTTCAGTGTATAAAATGCATTTACATGCATTGCACCTCAAAGTTATTTACGATATAAAGAAAATAGCACGTCTCTAAACTGTACCATGACCTCAAGCCACACTCTAAAAGGCCACTGCTCATGGCAAATAGAATCAGGTGACAATTGCAGACATTAAATGTATACAGTCTATTCAATTGAGCATTTCTGCTGAGCACATTATGAAGATATATGAGCGGGACAGCAGCAATGAGAAAGGTCATGGCACTTTACACAATATCTTTCTGACGTCATGGCCTCCATCTGTAGCCTGTTCTAAATCAATAACACACATGATTCACCTTGTAGCAATAAAAATAAATGTGTTAAAGGTACACTATGTAACGGGTTTTTTTTTATTAAAAATGTACACAATTTTATACGGATATCATGAATCTTCCGAACCGTGTTTTTGTCTTATCCTGAATCACTACCGGATATTCAGACTATTTTAGAGTATTAACTATTTAAAATACTAAAACTATTTTACTAGTAGCCCTAGTACCTGCGTGACTCGTCATGTACATAAACAGAGAGAAATAGCTACAATGTTCCTCCGCAAAACGCATGCAGTTCTGTTTATTAACCGCGTTTCGTAGGCCGATAGGTGTCTGACATTAAAGTACCACGAGAGCAGTTCAAAAGTATACAGAGCCGTCTGCTCTCTAATCGCTCTTGCGGTTCTTTAATGTCATACACCGAACGGTCTATGCAGTAGCCTACCACTTCAAGTCGAACACATCTCATAATTTCGAGATGACAACATGTCATTCTACTTGGAGCTTTTCCAGCTCCACCTCTGTGGATGAGTGGAGTTTGACCTAATCGGGTTTAGGGTTATGGCAGGGGTGACAAATCCAGCTAATGGAGGGCCTTTGTCCTGCAGAGTTTAGCTCCAACCCCAATTATACACACCTGAACCAGCTAATCAAGGTTTTATTAGGTTTTATCCCTCTGGTCCTCTTCACGTGTCGGTCAAAAATGACTGAATTTTGTTTTTTTAATTTCAATGAAATGAATGTAGGCCTATATATTTTAGTTCGATAATATTTTTTTTATTTAATATTTTGTATTTTTAGGGGATTTTATGGTACTAAGTTATATTTTTGCTGTATTTATAATCCATTTAATCACTTTTTGAGCATAGACCAGAAAATTAGATTACCAACTTAAACTGTCGTAAATCTTGAATGCTTAGAGCACAGACTTAAGTTTGATCTCTTTTCAAAGATGACACTTGGCAGATTATTGCTGAAGTGAATTTTTTAAAAAGTGAACGTAAACAAAGTTACAGAATTGTACGTTTATTGTCATGAAAAAATGAATTAAATATATATATATATTTAAAAAACATGTTTTACTCTAAAACTGAAAATCAAAGCCATAAATCTAAACAAAATGTGTTCAAAATTCGAGCCTGATATCTAAAAAAAATACCTTTCAGTGAGATTTTATCTATAGCTTTCACTAGGTGAAATTCGTCCCCCATTCATTTCCTATGCGGTCATTTTTGACCGCGAAGAGTACAATGTGACTATTTTTTTCAGGACCATTTAACCTGTTCGAATCATGTCCATGATTTTTTTGTGTGTGTGTTCACACAGCAGTGCCAAAACCTTTACCAAGTTTCGTACCATTCCCATGAAGAAGAGAAAAAAAAAAGAAAAAAAAAGAAATGTAAAAATTTTCGGTCAAAAATGACAGAAGAGCATCAGAGGCTAGGCATACTAAACTTCCAGGTTTGTTGTGGCGAGTTGGAGCTAAATTCTACAGGACAGTAGCCCTCCAGGACCAAGTTTGGACACACCTGTGTTATAGGTATAGGGTTAGGATTTGGCTGGACCTTCAAGCAACACTCAATAGGTCCAGAAAGGGAGAGCTGGACATCAAGCTCCACCCACTGGCTCTGCAAACAGCTAGAGAGCAGCCCCTCGAATTATGCTTTTTTTTGGCAACACTATCTGCAGCTGTCAGGTTGAAGCTCTCGAAAAATTCCCAGTTTACAAGTTGTAATTACGAGTTTTATGAGGATGAGAACTTTTACGAGACTTAAAAGTTGAAGTCTCTTAATAACAGCAATTATGACATGACCTGAATGCACCTTCATATTGTCGTTGATAGTGTTGACTTAAAAAAAAAAAGAAAAAAGAAAAAAAAAATGCTTATGGACAAACTGATAACAGAGTGGACAAAATAATGACAGTGTGGTAATGAATGAATGGATGATTTCCTATCTCTCACATACAACTAGTTATATTATTACTTTAGTTTGAACTGGATTTAGATGGGAAACAAAAATGTAAACATTCCCAAAGAAATTTAAATACACTACTTTTTCAACTTTAAACATGAATTACTTTTACAATCAATATCACTCTCAGTGATCGCATGGTCTTTAACATTGTAATTTTAAAACTATGATTTTTCTACTAACTTTTTAAAATTTTCCCTTGGATGTAGGTCGACCACATCAAATTTGAAAGATAAAATTGGTAAAAAATAGACAATTTAAATAAGTTTTGAAAGTTGTTTTCCCTCCAAACAAAGTAGTGACGATATGATGTTTCATGATATGATGTTATTTAATTTTTCCAATTTTCATTTAAAGGGAAAGTGGTCAAAATAACAGGGAGGACATTCAATTGAAGGACAAGCTAAAAATGTTGATTAAAATGGCTAAAATAAATTTAATATTTGAAAGAATACATAGCTACATTAGAGAATTACACAGAAAAAAAATCCCCAATGGTAAGTTGTATTTATCGTGAAATTGGGATGGGGACATAGGAAAAATGGTGATAGGCCTACATGTTGGTTCAAAATGCTGTAAAATGTCTCAAATATATATTTTTAAATTAGCTTTTAAAGAACTCAAATTGTGTTATTTATGACTAAGACCGGTTTAAAATATTGTCCAGGATTTTAAGGCAGTAATTATCATGAGGTTTACTGAGGACACAATAGCCACAGAATCCCAGTAATGACCTGTTTCTACCATTTTTACACATGGATCATGACGTTACAACCGAATTTCAAAGCTATTGTAAAGTCAAAGTAAAATGTTTAAATCAAAGGACTTATAATTATCTGTTTAAGGTTTCCTTTTACATATATCACAATTAGCAATAACATTTTTAATTTTTGTATTCATAAATAACATAATTAGCAGGATATATTTCATGTAAATATTTTGTCTCGGTGATACATGACTTTTATTTTGAAAGTCTTCATTGATTGTAGCCATATGTGAGGAAATGGTCACGTCACACTACCACATCAGTTCATAATGTAGCTGCTAGCTAGTGGAAATAGATTTATCATTCAGTATGTATTTCGAAAATCAACGGTTTTTATTTCAGAGTTCACTGTTGTGGATTACCACTAACGTTACATGAGCGATTTCAGCACCAAACGGCCCTGAATTGTGCTGTTATTTTCGGTTTCAGCTGTCTAACTTAAACAGGCTAACGCAGTTAACGTTAGACACATAACAGCTTTTGTTTCTCAAAGATGAGCTCTTAGATAAACAGTAAAAGATCTAAGATCATAAACACAGCAGCAGAATTATGGATGAAAAATACAGCAGTAATGTCATCTCCAGTGGGAAGCTGGGGCGAGTTGAGGTTCCAGATGCCAGGTAAACGGAAGAGTGTCCAAATATTACACTAAAATAATACTCTTACAGTACTATGGAAGTACCACGTTACACTGATGTTATGAGGTGGTGACGCTGGTTTTACTACGGTAGCATGATTAAAGATAAACATACCTTTTTGTATGAGCTGATGTATTGTAGTGGACCGTCTTGAATGACTTACAGAAAAGTAACTTCTTATTCTTGTTGGAAATGAAATGCCAATAAATACCATTGTATGTTGTAGTACCATACATATAAGTACCATAATATTTCTGTGCGGTGCATCCTTTCACTCTACCATAGTATCACTACAGTACTTTTTGTAAGGTATGAGGTATCTGCATTTTTTGTTCACCACATTCAGAGAATACTTTGGTATTACCATGATGATGTCCAAAACCTATAGCATTGCAATGTTTTCCATGGTAGTTTATGGTAATACCATTGTAAGAATAGCTCAGCTTTATTTATCTACTTTTCTACTTTACTGAATGGTTTCTTTTTCTTTTTCAGACTGACCCGGTACATAGTATTACTCTACTTTACCAAGCTGCTGAAGGCTTTTGGGATATTTGAGTCATATGATCTCCTCAAAGTTGTGCATATTGTACAGTTTCTCTTTATTTTAAAAATGGGGTAAGGAGTGACATCACACATTTACATATTAAAGAATACAAGTGTCATGATTGTTTATTTCCATTATTTCTGATCATATAAAGACCTTCTCTTTTCTGCATAGGTGTGCGATGATATTGGTTTTCTTTCAAAAGCCATTCTCATCTGGAAAAATTATCCCCAAGAGACAGGTACAAAGTTCTTCTAATTCTAGTTTAACTGTTCAATTCATCAGTTTTAAAACTCTTACCACTTAAAGGGTTAACAAAAAAAACTTGCCAAACCCCTTTGTTCATCTTCGAAACGCATGAAATATTTTAATATTCTCTCATCCTTTTAGTCCATCCTTTGAAAGTCCATGGAACCAGAACATTCCACACATAAAAAAACATTCATAAAAATATTGTTAAAGTGATCCATATATGTGGTTTAATCCAAATCTTCTGAAGAGACATGATTGTTATGCTGAACAGATTCAGTTTAGGCTTTTATTCACTTAAAAATTAATCATATTTATTACAACGTCAACTGTTAGCCACTTGCCAAATTTAATATTGGTTAATGCATTAAAAGTTACAGCAATAATAGCATGACATGCTCATTCTGTATATTATGGAAGTAAAATGGATTGCAAATGCCTTTTCATGTGGACCTATTTTGTTCATGGCAGCCTGATTTCATCTGTTTAACTTCTGATTTCAGTGGATAAAAATACTCAAGCATGCGGTCATGAGCTGCGTCATTTCCCTGTTGGGTTTCTTTGGGTTGACACTCTGTGGGCCACTCAGGTATGTCTTTGGGCTGAATCTAAAATAAACATGTTTCATTATTTTTTATTTATCAAGCATTTGGCCTAAACTTAAGTGATTTCTTTCAGGACCCTTTTGCTGTTTGAGCACAGTGATGTGGTGGTGATTTCTCTCCTCAGCGTTCTCTTTACCAGCTCTGGAGGGGGACCTTCTAAGGTCAGAAATGTAGAGAAATCATAACCGTATCTCAGAATGAACCATATTTACCAGCTGACACATTTCCATGTGCTCTTTTTTTTTCTTTGTTTTTTTTTTATAGACAAGGGGTGCTGCTTTATTCATAATTGCTGTGATCTGCCTTTTGCTCTTTGATAATGATGATCTCATGGCAAAGATGGCAGAGCACCGTATCCTTACAACTGTAGCAAAAAGGTGTACACTGTTATTAAATCAAGGTGAAATCTGTCATTTCTGCCTCTTTAATGACACCGGCTTGCCTTGCAGGCAAAATGGCAAAAATAACAACTGTTTTCCGACTAAAGGGAAAGTTATTTCAGACTCAGAGGTGGATAAACATTTTATTCTTTGCAATGACATCTACAGATTAATCGTTCACAATATCATCATGAATGTGTATTTGGAAATGTTTACTCTTTGGTTTTATCTACAACTGTATACTCCTTAACACGGTCTTATAGCTGAGGGGCACCATGACAGTGCTCTCACCCATGCGTTGTACACAGGGATTGCCTTTTTAGGTGTGGCGGACCACAAGGTGTGTTTTTGATCATTTGTTAAAAAATCTTTAAGAGTGTTTGTTTACTACAGTACTGACTCTGATGAAGGATCAGTGATATCATGGTGATTAATTCTCATTTTCTGAGCAGGGTGGAGTGGTTCTGCTGGTTCTAGCCCTGTGCCTGAAGGTGGCTTTCAACACAGCATCTAGAAAATTATCAGTGGAGATTGGGGGTGCAAAACGCCTATATGCTTTATCTAACCTCGTGTCGGCTGTAGTTCTGCTGCCCTGGGTCATAGTGCTGTCTGCAACCACTGAGGTAACAACCAGGAGAAGAACCAGCTTTGTTTTCTGCTTAACCAGGGGTCCATGCCCAGTAGAGGGGCTCAGCAAACCTTCAAAGGGGGCCTCAAAATTACTTAAAATAATTTAAAATAAGCTCAAATATTTCTTATTTTAGTTCATCCATTCAAGAACTGTTTGTTTCCTTTAAACAATCAGGGTTCCATTGGAAAACCTGGATATATGAGGTAGCCTAACTTTAAAAGTGTGATTTCTAGACTTGGAAAAAGTCATGTAAATGAATAAAATCTTAAAACGTTATGGGTGTTTTTGTCCATGAGACATTATTTTGGTCCCTTTTCCCAAATGAGAAAGACTACAGATTCGAAATGTGTTTTATCAGTTAAGTTTATTTTGTCATGGTCATTGGGAATCAGTTAGCATTGAGAGTACAGTCAGTGTAAAATTATTAAAACAAAAACAGTGCACCATCTTCAGATGCATTAGCCTCATCAAACACTTAAAACAATACAGACACTCATGTAAGTTCTTACAGACACTCATGAAAGCTCCTTTTTTAAAATGGAAATCCGCAGAGTAAGGTGGAATCCTGGTCTGGCCTCATCTTGCCATTTGCCATGATCATCTTCTCTGTGATGATTCTGGACTTTTACGTGGAGTCCATCTGCACTGCAAAGCTGGAAACCTCACGCTGTGCTCGATATGGCTCCATCTTCCTGTTCCTCAGTGGCCTGGTGCTGGCAAACTTCTGGACCCACCCGCTAACCGACCAGCTCAGAGTGATAAGTAAGCCAGGAAACAACCAGCAGAGTAGCACTGAGCATGTGCTGTCTGGTGGAGTGCTGGTCAGTGCCTGCTTCTTCATCATGGGTAAGTTAATATCTCTGATAGAAGATTTAATGCAAAGAATGCATTTTGAAAGATTTATATATTCCCCTATCACAGAATCTGATATGTAAATGTCAAGTGTACGATAGGGTGTAGATAAAAAAAAAGTGGAAGAAGTAAAAATAATCATCATAGTGTTGTAAATGTTAAAACAGGTCATTAAACCACATCAACAAAAAGGCGTTGATGTAAAACTCATTGAAAGTACCACATCTTTCTTTGTCCTAATTGAATGTACCATTTGATGTTTTCAGCTGATAGCATACTGTCAGCCCCTTCTTCAAAAGGTCAGAAGGGAACACTGGTGGGTTATTCCCCTGAAGGAACTCCTCTTTATAACTTCATGGGTGATGCGCTTCAGCACACGTCCCAGTCTCTGCCTCACTTCATCAAAGACTCACTCAAACAGATCCTGGAGGAATATGACTCGCGGCAGATCTTCTACTTCCTCTGTCTCAATCTGGTACATTAGCTTCTGTAGGATGGCCACTTCAACTCGTGTGTTTACTATATTTTGGTCATGAAGTGTAGAAGATGCTCAGTTTAAGTGCTTTATTGTTAATTGCTTAAAATGTTTATTTCTTGTCAGAATTACAGAAAAGGATTGTATGATTCAAATGTTCATAAGCTTTAGAGCTCCATGACCTACTTTAACGGCCTGTCTGATATAACTTGCCTATACTTTAAACAATGACCTACCTACTTCAACAGTATTGATAAGAGTTGTGTTGATCTTTGTTCAGGCCTTCACATTTGTGGAGCTCTTCTATGGTGTGTGGACCAACAGTCTGGGGCTGATCTCTGATGGCTTCCACATGCTGTTTGACTGCTCGGCTTTGGTCCTGGGGTTATTTGCTGCCCTCATGACCAGATGGAAAGCAACAAGGATATATTCCTATGGGTAAGGTAGTGCTGCTTGCTAATTTTAGGATAACTTATTTGTGAAATGAATTCACATTATACATTTGTAAGCGAGCAGACTGATTTGGCTTGTGGACGATGAAATACTCACAAAACAAGAATTTTTCTTAATTGCATTTACACTCAAAGTTAAGACACTTTGTGATTGCATGTTCACTAAATGCCCCGCAATGAATGTAGCAAAATTCCATGTGGAATTGAAAATGCATTCCGAGCCGATTCCGATGCACGTCCCCGCCCCACCCTGTCAATCATTGCGTGTCTTGAAGCGCTGAAACAAGGAAAAAACTAAACAGAACTGAGGATGACAGTACCAGACTTTCAAGTTGTTCCAAACACAACCATGTCACGCAGAAACATGCGCTTCATTGCTAAGAGATGCATGAAAACTAAAAACAAGAGTTGTTATAAAAGTGATTTAAAATATCAAACATGTCTGATATCCTCCAACTGGATGAAATCATAGTCTGAAGCTAAAAAAATCTGTGTCTAAGTCTGTGCTCATAATACACTACACGACTCACTATGACTCTCGGAAATTACTGTAGAATCGTGTAGTGTATTCCAGCTTTTTAAGCACACCGGGGCACACCAAGGCTTTTACATTTACATTTATGCATTTGGCAGACCCTTTTATCCAAAGCGACTTACATTGCATTTCAAGGTACACATTTACATTCTTATCAGTTCTATGAGACACGCACTCACAAACTTCCCTAAGCACTTCCCCTCGGGGGAATCCCCGTCGCCATTTTGAAGTGTGTTCCACTTCGTGGAGGGGACGAGGGAAGTTTATATGGACAGACCCTCGTCCCCTCAAATTTTGAACGAGGGAGCGAAGCTATGCCTATGTACACTTAAAGCAGCTCAATATCCCAAAATTCAACTTGATTGTGACCAAGGCTTTTTAGATTTCGTTTAACTGTAGTGTATGATATATTAATTATTTTGAGAATTATTCGCATAATAGTGTACAATATATTAGTTATGTTGAGATTTAATCTCATAATACTTGTAGCAACCTTATGTTCAGTCAAAGTTTATACTATTGATTTATTTGTGTGTAATTCTATTTATTAAACAGCTCATATACCTATAGGATTTTATATGTTTTCTCCAACAACAACTTATATGCACATAGAATGGTGCATAAAACAAATTCATAAGTAAAAAAGGGGTTAAAATAATCAATTAAATGGTAATTTTCGGAATAGAAATTAAGATTTTTTTTTTTATGAAATCTGAGAGCTTTCTGTCCCTCCATAGACAGCTACGCAAATAGCACTTTGATGCTTCAAAAAGTTCATAAAGAGATCGTTAAACTATTCCATATGAATTGAGCAGTTTAGTACAAAATTTTCTGAAGAGACATTTATATGATGAACAGATTGAATTTAGGCTTTTATTCACATATAAACATTCATCAACTCACACATCAGTCATGGTAAACGGAAGCTCAATCATGTTCACTTGACGTGCGAGACCCAATGAGATTCATTCTCGTGTGTTACACAGCACGTTTGAGCTCAGCAAGAGGTTTGTTCTCGTGCGTCAAGCAGGTTCAGTTGAGCTTCTGTTTAAGTTCTTTGATCAAAGTTTAAATGTGAATAAAAGATTAAATTTAATGTTCATCATATAAAGCAGTTGAGTCTCTTAATAAAAATTTGAAATAAACCGCCCAATTCATATGGATTCGTTTTACGTGTCAAAGTGGTAATTGCGTAGCTGTCTATGGAGGGACCAAAATCTCTCAAATTTAGTGAACGAAAGTCTTACGGCTTTGGAACATGAGGGTAATGACAGAATTTTCATTTTTAACCCCTTTCCTCTAGAAAGTTTGGTCATATATATCATAAATTGTGTTTCTACTATCACTTATGGAGTTATGGCTGTGTTTAACCTGTAAACCATGTGTGTTGTTTTTTTTATTCTGTTCTTTACAATGAATTGATCAAACTGGTTCACAAAACATGTCTGATTGATTCATTAACAAATCATTCTGAATCAACAGTTGTTTTTTTAAAAATGATTGATGGAAAATACATGGGAACTCATTGGTGTGGGAAGTCTGGGAACCCTGATTACTGGACATAACGGAATTGTGTTTTGTCATTTTTGGTGCTAACATTGTGACTTTTCTCATTTCAGGTACGGTCGTGTGGAGATCCTCTCTGGATTTATCAATGGCCTGTTTCTCATGGTCATAGCTTTTTTTGTGTTTGTGGAGTCAGTCACCAGAGTCATCGATCCACCTAACATCAACACAGATATGCTAACGGTATGTACAGCTAACCTGCAAGACATAGTTGTCAGGATTGACAAAGCATTTGCCAAGTTGGTGTCTTGAATGGGTTTTGCTAGTTGAACAAATAAATGTTATGCAAAGTTTCACACATGAATCCTGTCACCTCATGCTCATGCTTGCCCTTGATCCATTTGTTCCTTAAAGCCAGTTTCGGTTGGTGGACTCCTTGTTAATCTGGTGGGCATCTGTGCCTTCAGTCATGCACACTCCCATGGGGCCTCCAAAAGTAGCTGCTCTGGGCATGAGCACGGCCACTCACACCATGGGCACGGCAATGCAGAACACACCCATGGAGGACATGGACACAGTCATGGAGGACACGGTCACTCTCACAGCCACGGGCATTCCCACGGGTCTGCTGGAGGGGGAATGAATGCTAATATGCGAGGTGGGTCTGTACTCTGTAATGAGTATGATTTGTTTTTATTATAGACATGGCAAGGTTAGTTAATCCAGAAATTAAATTATCATTTATCAATCCTGATGCTTTTCAACCTTTTGAAGATGACATTTCCTTATCCTGTTTGCAGGAGTGTTTCTACATGTGCTTGCTGACACACTGGGCAGTGTCGGAGTGATTATATCCACCCTTCTCATTAAACAGTTTGGATGGCTGATCGCAGATCCCATTTGTTCACTCTTCATTGCCACACTGATTTTTCTCAGTGTTATTCCTTTGTTAAAAGACGCCTGTGAGGTTCTTCTCCTGAGAACGCCACCTGAAAATGACAAGGAGCTTAACTTTGCACTTGAGAAGGTATAGAAAAAATATACAGTATATACATTGCCGGTCAAATGTTTGGAATAGTTATAATTATTTCTAAAGAATCATGTCATGTGATACAGAAGGCTGGAGTAATGGCTGCTGAAAATTAAGCTTTACCATCACATGAATATAGTAAATTTTCAAATATATTAAAATGGAAAACTAGTATTTTAAATTGTAATATTTCACAATATTACTGTTTTTAAATAAAAGGTCAAACTTGGTGAGCATAAGAGACTTCTTTCCAAAGTATCTTTCAAAAAGCGTAATTCCAAACTTTTGGCTGGTTAGTGTAGCTTAAACATTTTGGATTACCAAATTGAATGCTTTACATTGCATATAATTTAATGCTTCCTTTTTGTCTAAGATTCAGAAAATAGAAGGCGTTTTATCCTACCGTGATCCACACTTCTGGAGACATTCTGCCAGTGTCATTGCTGGAACCATCCATCTCCAACTCATGTCTGATGTAGTAGAACAACGAGTTATTCAACAGGTATGAATGCTACATCTTGAACATGGCTTGTTTACAAATTTACTGCAATTTGTTTGGGCTTTCCAAGGCTTGTATTACCATTTTGCCTAAGGATTAGAGATTTAAGATGTGTCCCAATACAGAGGCTGCATCTTTCGGAGGACGTGGACTTCAAGGTTAGACCAAACGTGGTTAAATCGGACGTCTAGCCTATGGAATCAACTTTGACAGCTGCTGTTGTTGAGCAGCAGTAACATTTGTACTGGACTTTTTTGAAAGTTATATTCAACTGTCAGAAAGGTTGTGAACCTTGTTTTGTTTTCAAAGTATGTTCACCTTGGTCCATTTATGTACATAACAAAGAGTATAAACCAGGGGTGTCCAATACAGCTCCTAGAGGGGCCACTGTCCTGCAGAGTTTAGCTTTAACTACAATTAAAACACCTGAATCAGCTAATCAAGGTCTTACTAGGCAGCATGATAGAAACAGAGATTGTCTTGTTAGAGAGGGTCTGTGGCTCTTACCATATTTAACCAAAGCATAACGGCTAACATGGATCACGTGAGGCACCTCAGCCTATCAAATAATGGCAGTGATGTCAGTGGCCAGCGTTTTGTTAGTTTACGTTACACACGGTTTCTTGTTGATTAGCGCGTTTGAATAATGCTCTATATTTGGTATTATATCACTAGTAAATGTACAGTAGGACTGCAATGTTTGTGGAATGTGCTTTACTGAGCGGTTTGCTCTATTAGCTATTAGCTGATCACTACAGTGCGCATTAAACCACATTTAAGATTAGATTTAAATCTGTTCATTTAAAAACAGCTTTATTGTGCATGCATACTAGTGATACTACACACTAAATGTATTTGTAATTTAATTGTTGAAATCTGGAAGCCATAGAAAGAATACATTTATTTATTAAAATCTTTATATTTTGTTTACCTCCATTCATTAAGAAGCGTTATATCATTATTAGACATACACAGCAGTCATAAATCATTACAATGCAAGTCTAATTTATTTGTTGAAACCTGGAAGCCATAGAGAGTACACATTATTTTGTTTATTTTTTCATGTTGAAGATTAGCAATAAGGCTATTGATTTATTAAATGATAAGCTATTTCCTCACAAAAGCTGTTTATTCTGCATAGTGAAGCCTCTCCTCATTGATATCCCCCCCCCCCCAAAAAAAACGGCCTCTTGTCTTCACTGCGTACTGCCAAAGCTGGAGCATTAACTTTAGCCGTAATGCTTTTTTGGCTAAAGGTTGCAGGTTTGCCTTCCAGTGGCTTTGCTAGAAACTTCCAGGCAGGTGTGTTGAGGCAAGTTGGAGCTAAACTCTGCAGGGCAGTGGCCCTCCAGGAGCAGGATAACCTTCATCACCTAGTATAAACTATATAAAATTGCATCTTAGTAAGATGTCAACATTATGACCGCTTTAACGTTTTTTTTTTTTTTTTACATTTATATCATTAGATATTTGAGTAAGTTAAAATTCAGTACTTAAATTTAAAAAAATCCTGTCGTCACCGGCGCTTAATGAATTCTGAGGTAGGCAAGGCCGTGAAGGATCCATCTATTTTATCCTTCATTGCCTGGGAAATGAAGGACGCATTTTGAGGCACATTTGAAGGAGCCTTTGAATTGGGACAGCCTGTGTCGCGCCGCTGTGACGCAATCGGCCTTTGAATGTGGCCTTCGAAGGATGTAGCCACTGAATTGGGATGCAGCTTTAGCTAGATATTTTTATTTATTTATTACTTAGACTTCATTTCGGATGTCAGATCTTGTGTATAATATCCTACAATTTTTTTTTTTTTTTTTTTTTTTGGTTGATTCATGTATTGGTTTTATTGTTTTGTCCAAAAACAAAGTAACTTACTGACCAATTTGTATTGTTTAATACTGAATTTATTTTCTCAGGTGTCTGCCGTGTTGAAGGATGCTGGTGTTAATAACCTGACTATACAGTTGGAAAAAGAGGCTTACTTCCAGCACATGTCTGGCCTAAGCACTGGATTCCACGAGGTTTTAGCCATGACACAACAGATGGAATCCATGAAATATTATAAAGACGGCACATGTATCATGTAAACTCTTGTTTTAACACGTTTAAATATTAAGAAATAAAGGGATCTAAGGTATAATTATAATCTCATTTTTTTTATTAAAAAATGTAAAAATGAATTTTATGATGGCTACACTCTGTAAGGTTCCTAACAGTTAGAAACAATAAAATATTATATTATTTTATGAACACAAATGTTTTTGTTTGTTTGTTTTTTGAGGGGGGTGGGGTCCATCCTCTTTAAAACATTTCATATTGCATTTTAGTCACATTCCAATTATTTCCATTGATGGTTGTTTTTTTTCAACCATACATGCATATAAAATGTAATTATTTATTCACTGTAATACGTGACAGAAATAAGTGAACAAATGAAAGCCATATTTTAATAATACCTCTTTTATTTCATTAATTAATAATGTATTTACAGGCAAGGTCTTTGTAAGCAAGGCATTAGCCCTGATTTGTGGGTTAGCAGGGCATATGAAATCACACAATTATTTATTTTTTCTAATAACATGAAGTATGGGATCAAACAATGAATACACGAATCAAAGCACTGATACAAATGTTAATAAATAAAAATAGGTTGTGCGCTTTAAAATTATAACACGTGGCAAATTAATTGGTCATCAATTTTTTTTATTGTGGTAGGCTACTGGGGTCGGGGAAAGTTTTTTTTAAAGTCGAGGTTTATCTGTCTAATGTGCAATAGGCTACAGCAACAGCAGTAGACCTACTTATGTCAATGAAAGGTTTATCATTGAAAGAAGGAAATTTTAGATGATAATACAGATAGCTTATGCATTTAGATAAGTCTATAAAAACATTAGTGTGGTATGTGCAATTGTTTAGGTGTGTGCAAATTATATTTTTAAATTGAATTAGTAGCAGTAAATAGTTGTATAATTTATTTATGCATACTAATAATTATACTCTAAATATAATATTTAAACGTTAGTAATAAGTGTCATCTTGTTATAAACATAAGAGGAACATAAGTTGGGTTTTCTCAATGTGAGCAATGTTGTTGACAAAATTTCTGAGAATGTGTTTTCACAAACGCGGTTTTTGTGGTACCGCAGTTGCAGACACACGCTCCGCAGCAAAAGGTGGCAGTGGCAAGCACGCAAACTCTAGTACACACTACAAAAGAACACGTTCGACTGGTATCCCCGCCCCTGGGCGTCACGTGGTCACAAGTTGTCCTAGTAACGCATTGAAATCAGGTGCGACTGGGCCAATCGGAGCTCAATGATTTTCGAACCCAGCGAATCACGTTCGAAAGAGCGACAATTTAAACCACAGAGGAAATGCAATGCTACATCGAGCTCGCTTGAGTAGAATCAACCAGTTTGTTCATCGAGTCACAGCAATAATCCTCCTGAAATAATGGCTCTCCGTGTCACAAGGGTAAGTTGTTTTTAAATGCGTTTTTTTTTATTGTTTTGGAACTCAAAGTGTATGCGTCTTATACTAAAGAACAAATTATTTGTCTTTTTTAAGTTGATCTGGGAAAACCCTGAAATATTTCCTTATCTTGCACGTTACTATGTTAGTGTGGTGTTTTACCTTCGTTTTTAGTTTAGCATATGTTCTATCAAAAGTTTGTGCACGTTCTGCGTAATAGGTAACGTTAGCACGTAAACTGCATGCATTTCAGAGACTAACTTTAGTTCACATTAGTGCTGTTAACTAGTTTGTACTAGCGTGCTTTCGGTCCTCGTGTGCCGTTTTTAAACGCGTGTCCTAGAATTCAAACATATTTCTACAGATGTAGCACTTTTAAATGTCTCGCATAACCAATTGCCCCAGCTACTCGTTATGCAAAACTTACCCATGACCCTCTTGTCTTGAGTAGAACACCCGCCTTGCCAGCAGCGAGAATCAGAACGCTCTGCCCGGAAAAGCAGCTGTAGCGACCAAGCCCGGACTCAGACCTCGGGCCGCGCTGGGGGAGATTGGCAACAATCCGCAGGCACGACAGGCTTTGAGGAAGAAGGTAAGTGCCGTCTCTTCTCCGGGCAATTCCCATTTCAGCTGCCTTTGTCTCAACCATGACTTAACCTTTTGAAACAGGAGGTGAAGGCTGCACCCAACGCGGAGGTTGTGGCTGAGAAAGCGCCTGTGGTTCAACAGCCCAAAAAAGAGTCTCCTAAAGTGAAGCATGACGTTCAGGTGAGCAGTATATGCGCGGCATTTAAAGGGTCAGTTCACCAGAATATAACGTCAGTAGTATGGAAGCTGCTGTCCACATGACTACAAGTCAAGAAAACGGTAGCTTGCGTTTGACATGTCTCAAATGGCCTAGCTTCTGCCAAGTCTCCTAGCATTGGGTTAATGCTCTTTTTGGTTCAAACTTGTGTGGGTTTAATCCTGAAAGTGTTACAGCAGCCTGCCATATTTGCTAACTTCTGGGAGCTTTAGTCACGTGACTTATCTTTCTAATGCAGACTAGCTTTTTTATTTTATATATGGCAATAACTGTTTCTCTGTCAGTAGGGAAACTGTTATTGCCATTCATTTATAAAATAAAAAGTTCTACAATCCTTGTAGTTCTAGTATTAACCAGCAGGGGTTAATGCCCCCTAGTGCTGGCTCTGAAGTGTTTGGATGTTGCTGCTATTCTGAATTCTTGAAGTATCTATTCTGCCACCTTAATGCAAAAAGATTCACTTCAGTTTTCCATTGCAGATTTTGTCTGAGCCTTCATCTCCTGTTCCCATGGAGACCTCTGGCTGTGCTTCAGATGATCTGTGTCAGGCGTTCTCTGATGTTCTGCTTAATATCAAGGATGTGGATGCGGATGACTATGATAATCCCATGCTTTGCAGTGAATATGTCAAGGACATCTATTTGTATCTCCGTCAGCTTGAGGTTTGCAGAAAATATGCTTCGTTGATTTTGTTATAATGCTGACGTGTTCGGAAAGGTGAGCTTTTCTGCTTCTCTTGTAGACCGAGCAAGCTGTTAGGCAGAAATATCTGGAAGGAAAGGAAGTCACAGGAAACATGCGTGCCATTCTTATTGACTGGCTTGTGCAAGTTCAAATTAAGTTCAGGCTGCTTCAGGAGACCATGTACATGACTGTTGCAATCATTGACCGCTTCCTTCAGGTGGGTCCCTTTCCAGTTTTGGTTCACTGCATGGTGTTTAAGGTTGTTTTAATAGCCTCCACTTGTCCCTCAATCAGGATAATCCAGTTCCAAAGAAGCAGCTCCAGCTTGTTGGTGTAACAGCCATGTTCATAGCCTCAAAGTATGAAGAGATGTACCCACCAGAGATTGCAGACTTTGCCTTTGTGACCGACCGTGCCTATACCACTGGTCAGATCCGGGAGATGGAGATGAAGATCCTGAGAGTCCTCGACTTTGGTTTTGGAAGGCCTCTTCCACTACAGTTCCTCAGGAGAGCCTCCAAAATTGGCGATGTAAGCAGGTTTACCCATATTCTTTCAGAAGTGCTTCTGAGGTATGTTCACATTGTTAATACTAAAAGGGTTTGTTTTGCAGGTTACTGCAGAGCATCACACGTTGGCCAAGTACTTCCTGGAGCTTACCATGGTCGACTATGACATGGTCCACATTCCTCCTTCCCAGGTGGCCAGTGCAGCTTATGCCCTCACCCTGAAGGTCTTCAGCTGTGGTGACTGGGTAAGTTCTTGGATGGTCTTGTTCTAGTTTTTTTATATATATAAAAATCTAACCATTCCATTTGGTGTTTTACAGACCCCTACTCTTCAGCATTATATGGGCTACACAGAAGAGATGCTAGTTCCTGTGATGCAGCATATTGCCAAAAATGTTGTGAGGGTCAATGAGGGGCTTTCAAAGCACCTGGTGAGTGGCTTCAGTCTGATAAGTTGGCCTACTTTGTCTTCAGTAGCTTTTTAGTGTCTAGATGTTGTTAATGTGACCCACTGAAGAGTTTGCTTTCTTCTCCAGGCTGTGAAGAACAAGTATTCCAGTCAGAAACAGATGAGAATTGCCTCAATTTCTCAGCTTAAGTCCTCCTTGATCAAGGACCTGGCCAAGCAAATCTCATAGTGTGTGTGTGGGGTTATGATCAAGAGACTTAAGCACTGTGTGCTGCCTTGTAAAAATTGTAACTTATGCATGCTTTTACTATTGCAACTTTTATCATTGATTGTTTTTACAGGTAATTATTTTTATCTGCACTGCCATGTCCTAGTAAAGGTGACCGTTAATGTTGATGAATGATTCAAAGTTTGCTACCTTGTACATTTGAATTCAAATAAACGTTTTAACATTTTACACTTAAGTGTTTCGTGTCTGAAAAGGGGTTTGATTAATGGCTGAATGTTCTGGGTTTGTGAAATAGCTCACTGGTTTTCAGAATTCAAAGTAGGAATCAAATCCCTGTTAGCCTTTTGCTCTTCCTTGCTTTTATGATGGCCTGAATTCTTAAGTGGTTTTCTCCAGGCTGGTTCTAAATTTCTTAGTTTCACAATATAAACTTTCAATCCATTCAGGCTCAAGATTGTTTACTTGCCATGTCATTGAGTTCATCTGCATTTTTGAAAACGTTTTGCATTGTCCCAGATGCCTTAAGGGTCTTCATCACCAAACATCAGTTGCTAGAATGAAGTTTATAGCATTGTCACACCTGTGATTTGGGTGTTGATGTAATGAGTGCAGTTTCAGTCTGTCGTTTGCCTGTCATACAAACTCATGAGTGGGTTTTTCTTATTCATTAGAATGGCACCAGATAAAAGTTCCAGCATGTCCTTGGCCACTGTGAATTTGTAATTTATCAATGAATATCATTTTAAGTCCAATAATTCACACCCCATGACTGCTTTTCTTTTAAGACCTATTCAGTTGGTGCTAGGGTTAATTTTGTTTTCTACATTTTACTTGAACAACTTTTTGTTTTTTTTTATGATTGCGTGTATTTGACAGCTGATAAGGAACAACCACTTTTGATACATGTTAGATTTTACTGCTTAAAGGAGCTCCTTTTTTTCCAATTGACTTTCAGACTATTTTTTTGGGGCCAACTCACCGCAGACTAGAATAGAACTCTTGTTTTGCTTTTAAATCAATTCCTCTACGCAATTAAACTATGGTCCCATTTTATATTAGATTTCTTTAATTACTATGTACTAACATTTAAATTATTTGAAACAATACACTTGTTTAAATCTTTTACATAATGCTC